CCATTTTAATTTATGTGTTTTACTTTTTTTTTTTACTCTGTTCAGAATAAATGCCAACATTTCACATATATGTAGGTTTTTAAATTATACAACATTCTAATTTTATCTTTAATGGCACTCCTTCATAGGAATAACATACATGTTTAAAACCACAAGATTTAACAGTCAATTTTAATATAGTATACACTTTTAATTTAAGAACATAAGATTTAAAAAGCAGATAGAGTGGGTTGCTCTAGTGGTGAGCATCCTCCACTTCCAACTAAGAGGTTGTAAGTTCAAATCAACCCAAGAGCAAAGCAGAGAGTTTTTGGAGGAAGGGAGGGAGTCATATTCTAATTATTATTATTTTTCCATCGATATATGTCCTTAAATAGGAGTGTTATGTTGATTACCGTTTAACTTAGTCAAAGTAAGATCTTAATTCATACGCTTGCTGACTTTATTATTGTTGTTTTCACATTATCCAACACACTAGCTTACCCTAATTCAAAGTTGCTTTATATTTCCTCACTGTGGATTTAAAAAAAATAATAATAGAAAATCTGTTGTTAGGTAAACGTCTATTTCAAATGTTGGTGAAAAGGGGCTATCTTTATCATTTTTTTCTACTCCAAGAGAAAGCTTATCCTCCTTTTCCCCCTCAAGACTCAAGAGATGGGTTATCCACTAGAAATCAAAATGAACAACTGTCTTTTTCTTACAATTATTATAATTTTCTTAGAAGTGTATATAAAATGTTTTAACTTCTTTATTACATAAACAAAAGCTAATTGGATATTTTGTCAGCACATCTAAAGTAGCATGATATTGACTTCCGTCACCTGTTTTAACTTAAAGAATTGCTGGAAGGCGCTTGGTTAATTTCGGAGCACCAGAATTAATGCATTTATATTTTAATCTAAGTTTAACATTGATTTATTAATTTCATCAAACATAAAAAGTCACACATTTGATATAAAAAAAAAAGTAATTCGGTGCACTAAACTCCAGCTATGCGCACGGAAGTAACAAATTCATTAAAATATTATAAATCATTATTTTTAAAATCATAATAACCACAATTGAATAAAAATATGTAATAACTAATAATAGTGTTATTATCTTCTGAACAAAAAAGTAACACTGACTGGCATAATTACGTGAAAATTTTAAAATTATATATAATATTATTTATTTGAAAAATACTTACTACTTTTAAGATATTATTTATCAATTTATAAATATTTAGTATGTTATTTAATATTTTTGATAAGTTAATCTGAACAAAGTTTATTTAACTATATAATTATACTTGTTCAACCAAACATGACCTATGTGTTATGTTGAGAGGTTATCGGATCCTGTAAACTTTGGCAGAAATCTTGTACATGTATGTGTATACCTTAAAAATGGTTAATTTAAATCACTTTGCACCTTGAAAGCTAAAAGCCTTTAGGGGGCACTGGTCGAGTAGAATATTGTGCCCCCCTCACGGTAAAATCATGGGTCCGCTTCTAGAAGTACACTGTAATTATATTTTGGGAAACAAACATGTCATGTAATTATTATACTGTGTAATTACCATGGTGTAATTACTACTCTAGTAATACACAACTAGGTAATTATACATAGCTTTCCAAATAGATCCTAATAAAAAGAGCAGTCCGGTGCACTAAACTCCCGTTATGCGCGGGGTCCAGGGAAGGGCCGGACCACAAGGGTCAATCGTACGCAGCCTTACCATGCATTTCTGCAAGAGGCTGTTTTCACGGCTCGAACCCGTAACCTCCTGCTCACATGGCAGCAACTTTACTAGTTACGTCAAGGCTCCTTTTCAAATACACCCTAATAGTGTCCATCAATATACAGGGTTATGGGATGACAGAGGCTGGTTCGGTGTTGGCAATGTGCTTGGCATTCGCAAAAGAACCATTTGAGATAAAATCAGGAGCATGTGGAACTGTTATACGAAATGCTGAGGTGAAAATCGTTGATCTAAACACTGGTAGTTCTCTACCTCGAAACAAATCTGGAGAGATTTGCATACGAGGTGACCAAATCATGAAAGGTTAGCTCCAAATGATATACTTTCTTTATCAGTTCTCTTTTTCATTTTCATGTAATTTCTTTTTATAGAATTAGTATAAATTTACACTAATCAAATCATGAAAGATTATTTACAACATTAGCTACGTACAAGTAGAACAACACTGATGATTGGAAAGAATATCTACACCATCAATATAGTGTAATCAGCCATAACATGTTGCTTATAAAACTAATTAGAACCCGTTTGACCATATAAAAAAAATCCTTTTTTTTGGTTTTGTTTCTTTAAAAATGTGTTTGTCCATGAAATACTGTAAGTTTTTGGATTTGAAAATAAGTTTTTCGAATTCAAAATTAAAAAAAAAAAAGATTTTCCCCGCTCACAAAGCTTCAATATTTTTTCAAGTGAAATGCATGTCCAAGCATAATTTCAAATTTCAAATATTATTTTTTCAATTTAAATTTAAATACTATTTTTTCTTCAAAAATTACAATTTTTATGTCCAAACGTCTGCTAAGCAACAATAACGAGTCATAGTTTAAATTAGATAGTGGTACCCTAGACTAAGGCCGTCGTACCTACTTTTCACAAACTAGAAACTTGTCGAGTCAAAGTTCAAAATTATTGACCAAAAATAGACATGCAATGCTGACACTTCCACCAACACTCATGTTCAATTATGGAACTCTTTTATATTTGGTCTAAAATTTTCACTTACCAAGTCTCAATACTTCCTATACTTGTTCTGGTCTCTTTATATAGTTTTGGATAATTTTTACCTAAAGAATTACTTTTTGCGATTAAGTTATGCCTCAGATCCATTTCTAGATATTAAAATGTGCATAAAGAGGTTTTAAGTATAAAAAGATGTCTATTCTTTTGGTATTGGACCAAAAGGGAAAAAAAAAAGATTATCAAATAAGGATGTTTATTCTTTTGCTTAAACTCAATATTTGTATTAAAAAATTCATTAAATATATAAAAATATTTAATTGTGAATCTAGTAATTAAAACGAGCTATGGTTCGATGATAAGATCAGAACACATAACCTTCAAAGGGGAAACCTTCAAATCTTGATTCCGCCTTTGAACAGAGGAAGTATTTCTTACCAAAAACATTAAAAATTCCTATTAAAAATTTCAAACTAGTAAAAGTTGTGTGTATTAGGTTACTTGAATGATCCTGAGGCAACTGCACAAACAATAGACAAAGAAGGATGGTTACATAGTGGTGATATTGGCTATATTGACGAAGACGACGAGCTTTTTATTGTGGATCGATTGAAGGAATTGATAAAATACAAAGGATTTCAAGTGGCTCCTGCTGAACTTGAAGCACTTCTCCTCAATCTTCCCAATATTTCTGATGCTGCTGTTGTCCCGTAAGTCTCATAGTCCTTTCTTATAATTAATCTGCGATAAATACAAGTGTACGCACATTTATTTGTAAATGCGAAGACCCAGCCCCCAAGCCATGTTCGCATTTGCGAGCAGGTCTTCGCAATTGCGAGATCACCTGCAAGTTCACACCACCAACCGCTAACTCCACAATGCATTGCACAGCCAAAGAAGTCACAACCCTCCGAGCACATTAGCCTACGCATTGCCGCCTTTTGTTCGAATTTATAGTATATTATACTCAATACTTACTGTAGTAACAGTAAAGTTGTCTCTGTGTGACTTATACGTCACAGATTCGAGCCGTGGAAGCAGCCACTAATACTTGCATTAGGATAGGCTGTCAACATCACACCCCTTGGGATGCGACCCTTCCCCGAACCCTACGTGAATGCTAAATATTTTGTGTATCGGGCTATTCTTTTTCTCAACACTCACTAACTTAAAAAAGAGAAATGCATAACATATTTAAGCCAGTGATTGTCCAAATTATGATTAATTTATTAACTATATTCGGCAGCATGAAAGATGAGCAAGCAGGAGAAGTTCCAGTGGCTTTTGTTGTTAGATCTAATGGTGGATCCACCATTACTGAGGATGAAATCAAGGATTTTATCTCAAAGCAGGTTAATTCTATTCTTTCTTCATTGAATTCTTTGGTTTTATCCAAAAAATGGTACGTACTAATTATTTCTCTTCTCTCAGAATGGCTTTAATTAATTGGAAAATAAAAATAAAATAAAATATGTTATTTCTTCATTAGTATATTCAAAAAATATCAAAAAATCAATGTCCAAATATACGAATAAAGAGATAGAGAAAAAGAGATAACCAGAATTAAACTCACACTTATTATATAGGAGACTCTCACGACTTGGACTACAAGTTATAGCATTCACTAGACTCTTTGAATTTGTTTTGCTGACTTCTCTTTTTTAATTTTCAGGTGATATTTTATAAGAGAATAAAGCGAGTATTTTTTGTGGATTCGGTTCCTAAATCTCCATCTGGCAAAATACTTCGAAAAGACTTGAGAGCCAGACTAGCCGATGGGCTTCCAAATTAAAATCTTGGGCTTTGGACCCAATTAGGGCATTTACTAAATCAGGCCCACTATTTCTTACTCGGCATGTTATTTCAACCTCTTCGGTATGCTTTATTTGCGAGGGAGAAATGTCTGCAAATACGTTTCCTTTTCCTATATTTTGAAGATGGTTATGTAGTATTAAAAGTTACATCATGTATAGTTAGCTGCACTCGCAAATTATATAAATATTGCTGTTACTTTGGCTATACTCGCATGGTCATCATCTGGGGCGGATCGAGCTCTTTAACAACGGGTTTATTACTCAGTACTTTCGACGTAGAGTATAATTTTATAGGTAAATATTCACTAAAATTATACTAAATGATAAATATGAACTTATAACTTAACAATATAATGAGTTCAATATTAAGAACCTCAAAGATTGAATTCATAGAATTTAAATTCTGGAACCGCCTCTGGTCATCATTGGCATATATTTTTGTGGAAAAATATGTATTGCATAGTTAATTAACAGTCACTTAAAGCGTCTTAATCTTCAATTGCCAATAGGCCAAAAAGGATCAGAAAAGAGAGAACCCTTTCCTGCATAATTTTCACAGTTCATCTCCTTGAAGTGAATTTAAAACAAAACGAACAAGTTTCAGTGGGGAGCCACCAGTTACTTAAAACTTCAGAAACTCCAAATACTTCTTTGAGTCCACTCTAAGTACTGTAGATACATTATAGCACAAACAAGCATCAGTCGGAGCAGAAACCTTCAGTCTCATTATCCTCATAAACAACTACCACTTGAAAGGGGAAGTAATAATCTGGCTGCAGACATTGGGAGCAGTATGTGTTATTTAATGAGTCAGCATTCCTCTATGCAGCCCGGTGCACTAAGCTCCCGCTATGCGCGGGGTCCGGAAAAAGCTGGACCGCAAGGGTATATTGTATGCAGCCTTACCCTGTATTTCTACAAGAGGTTGTTTTCACAGCTCGAACGAGTGACCTCACATGACAGCAACTTTACCAGTTACGCCAAGACTCCCCTTCTCCGCATTCCTCTGCGCATTTCTAAAATGACAGTCAGGTGTGTCAGGGGAAAAGATTTTTTTTTCCCAAATGTCAGGGGAAAGGCCCTCGACAAGTTTACATACCACTGACGACAGTAGACAGCTGATATAGTAGTTGTACAAAAACCTATTGGATGATCACCACAGCATTCCTAAAGATAGCTTGCCCATGTAGTTCTTGTTGGATTGAGTTGCGTTTTCTTTCATCGAGTGAAAAATCCAACATTTCCTCCCATGTACCACTACCAGAATAACAACTAAAACATGGGCTGAGAAACATTCGTTCAAGTACCATTGCACTTCTCAGAATATAAACAGCAAATTCAATCTCTGCTTCGGATCCATGAAATCCACCGAATGTCACTTCTTTCAGCTTAGTGTGACATGTAGGAGATAAAGGAGGCCTTATGTCACTTCCTCTTTCTCCCCTTGTTGTCCTCGATTGCTGAGATCACAACGAGAATGAGATCAGTGTATTGCTAATTGAATATAACTATGATTTATGTAGTTAAGCAAGCTGCAATGTGAGCATTTGACTGAACCAAGACTACTTGCTAAAGCAGCACATTAATTGGACAGTGAGGAATATGCTAAGTAGTTCATTATGCTGTTGATCACAAAAATAGTTTCATGGAAATCAACTATAGTAAGTGTTTCATTCAGTTACGAGTCCAGTTAGACTTTTTCTAGCACACAGCAAGGCGTAACATCTGCTAGTTATAATGAACGAATGATAACATATAGTTCTCTAATGTATGCAAGACCTTGAAGATTTGTACTTTGCCAACTAAACTTATGTGGCACGTCGTTATCAAATATCAGCATTAACAAGGTTTTCAATGCAAATCAGTCAATTCCCAGAATATTACAAAAAATATACTAGTAGAAAAAAATTAATTCAAGATATTTTTTGTTGAGAAGATAAAGTGAGAAGATAAAGTAATTTTATAGATAAAGTAGCATAAAGGTGTGCTATTACAACTGTAAATATCTTCAGAAACAAAACAGACAAATATGCCCCTTCTAATCATGTAGGGTTTCTAACATCTATTACACTTAGTCAACTATCCACACTCAAAGTGAAGGAACCTTTTTCTGCAACTAATCATAAATGTTGGTAAACCATTTTTATTATTCTTCAGAGAAACTTTAACCTGCCGAGGCAATGAACGATATAGCTGAGATCGTTCAGAGCAGTCCAATAAGAACAATTCTAGTATGCAATTCTCAATACAGTGATAATTCCTGGCAAAAGTGTCTCAACATTGTTTCCTGTTGTTCTGGTCAAGGGAAACATAAGTTGCAGTTTCTTCTTTGCTATGCTATTTTAATGATACAGGAAACCACATTCTGTAATGTTAAAATCTGTTGTTAAACCGTAGGTGCACAATAACATCATAATAGCAAATGGTGCCCATCCAAAATTAATTAGTTTGTATTTGAATAGCTTTAGAATTAAAAATCTTTCGGTAATCAATTCCTTTTTATAGTGTTAACAGATTTAAGGATATTTTGGTCCTTTTAACAGAATAAGCATTTATTTTATCAAACACATTAACAACTAATTTTCACCTTCAACACTTTTATCCAAACACGTAACTGTTTAATTACAAAATCACCTCCAACACTTAAAAAGTGTTATTCAGCACTTGGTGCTTAAATGCTATTTAAATTTAGCTAACCCAGACAGGCTCATAATCTCCCCGGCAGAAAAACAAAGGATTTCTTTGATAATAGACCAAATTATTATTTAGGGTAAATTTTTTAATTAGTTCCCAGACTTGCTAGGTAGTGAAGGGTGTTTTGTCTCACGCGGCAACGGACAACCTAAGCACACCAATAGATGAGGGTTATTGGTAATAATACAACTTTTCCCAGTATAAATTGTTTTTGACAGAAAATGCATGATTACACATAAAACACAAGGAGAATTACCAGTAAATCATGCATCCCCCATGCAGAAGTCAACAGCATATAAGATCAAGCAAACAATATCCAGAATATCCAAAAAGTAAAAGAAAAAAAGATGAATATAGATAACTCACCACTAAATCCAAATGCCGAAGAAGAGGACAAGCGCCTAAGAGAGAGGGAAATTTTGACTATGTCAAAGTCATACGTGAACACAAGTACCAAGGTTAGCTCCCTAAGGTTTCTGAACATTTGTGTCTCGGTTGGGAAGTATTTTATCTGAAATAAAGAATGCTTTAATTGATCAGGATCTTCAAAAAACAAAGACCAAAGGAATTTGAGAAGACAAGACATCATCAGATACCTGAGAATAACCCACTTTGACTGTTAAAGATTTAACTTGAGCAGGTAAATCTCTTGCAAAATCACCAAATATGTATGGCATTGCAGCGGCTCCGTTAAAATTAATTATTACAATTTCCAACATGGGAACAAAAGAAAAATAAAATCTTACTTTGCTAAAAAGAATACACTCAAATCGACGAAGATTTTTAGCTCGAAGATCAATCTCTTCCAATCCGCCACAAGCTAAGAAAAAAACGGATGTCACTGTGCCAGAGATGCATAGCTTATAAGGGAGTTTGCTACATGCTAGCTCTAACCGGTTAAGATTCAAACAAGAGGAAAAAACACTCTCAAGTTGTCCGCTTGCTAACAGAACACTGTCCAAAGTAAGGGTCCTAAGGGAATTAAGACGGACTCCGGAACTTGGTTGGATAATGCAATGGTATAAATACAGGTGTTTCAATGAGGATGCCTGAGAGAGAAGCTCAAGAGAAAATTTAAACAATTTGTTGGGGTTGCGTATGGGGTTGGAGTTGTAGATGGGGTGATCACTGCCACAATCAAATGAAAGACGTAGTCTTTCAACACCTAATCTTGAAATAGAATGCATCCATTGGTCAAATTCCCTAAAAAAATTCTCCCACAACAAAAGGTTATCTCAACATTAGTCACTTTACGATCCGAATAAAGCTATAATAACTGTTCTTTCAAGAGTTTTTGCTGATCGTAAGGGCAATAACTGTGATCGAAAGGGTCAATCCCAAACCTGCCAAGGGGTTCGAATTCTAATGTAGGCATAGAGGTTGTTAGTTTACAGATATGTATAGTGTAGTCTTGTCCCACATTGGAAGAGGAGTAATATCTCCTTATAGTGTATAGCTATAAATAGGGACCTCTTGTATTGTATTTATCATCAAATATCAATAACATATTTTCTCCCATGCCTTCTCACATGGTATCAGAGCATTAGTGAGAAAAGATCGTTGTGCGTCATTCCAGCGTTAACCGGGAAGAAAGAACTTAGTCATCGTGCAATTTTTCCGGTGACCTAAGGCTTGTCTAAGTGAAAGTCACTTTCTGTCGGTGTTGTACTAAAACCAACACCACCACGAGGTAGATCACTCTCCGACGACCAACCCCTGAAATTTTATCCGGCAGAAAAGCCGCCACGCTCCTCCACGCGCCGGCAACAACAACTTTTCCGGCGAGGGTTCCGGCCACTTTCCGGCCATTTTTTCGCGAAGCTTCTTCAGGACAGCTTGCTCGCAAAGGAATTCCGAGTCTATCCATCCTGGTTACGACAAATTTCGACAACTTTGAAATTTTCCGGCGAGCTACAGTATTTCCTGCTGTAAACAGTGTTTTTCAAGCTATCTCTTCAGTTTTCTCACAGGAGTTACTTATTTCCACTATTTCAAGTTAACCATACTACTACAAATTGTAGCGACATGGGAACCAATGCTTTGAATAGTCGGATGGTTTCTTTAGCAGATTATATTGAGTTCCTTCA